AATTTTATGTGTCTAAGCGTGTTTCAAATGTGCACGTACACTCTGTTTGTGCTTGGCTGCCACAGGAGGCTGGAAGAGGGCATCAGATCCCCTGGAACTGGATTACCAATGGATGTGAGCCACTACGTGTGCTGTGAACCAGACCAAGGTCCTCTGCGAGATCAGTTCTCTTAACCATGAACCATGTCCCTAGCCCCTACTGCATGGCTTCCTGGGGACACGGGCCATATCTGCTTAATCAGTGGTGAGACTGCAACAGACCCTACAGGCATGTGATGAGCAAACTTCCCAGCCCTGACCCTTGGCCCAGCAGCACTGTTTGTGGCAAATTTAATGGAGTAGCTCTCAAATTTTTAATTTTTAAACACTTGAGATATGGGCTCATGTAGCCCAGGCTGAGCTGAACGCATGCATAATCCTTAGCCTTCCGAGGGCTGGGATTACAGCATGTGCCACCAGGCCAGGCTTGCATTTCTCTTCTTATACAGGGGATATTCTCTTCACAAAGCTAAAGCCGCCATGACCTAGTTACCTCCAAAGGCCCTGCCCCCTAACACCATCGTGCTGGATTTTAGGATTTCAACATCAGAACTGGTGGGGGAGGGAAAGAGGACACATTCAGGCTAAATCCCTTCTGTTGATTTTTGAAATGGGCACTCTGGGTACAGAGTACGCTTGAAAAGTTTTGGGTGCATTTGAAACTCTGTTAGTCTTTGAAGAACACTCCATCAGTAGGGGTCATAGGAAGGGAGGTCCAGGTGATTTTGCAGAAGAATTGTCATATTTCTCTACTTAAATGGTCAGGGAGACTCAAGGAAAAGAGAACACTCAGACGACAGGCAACGGCAAGGTGCCAAGCCACACAGAGAATTCCGCCAGGTATCAGTTCCGCCAGCAGCCAGAAATTCTCAGCAATGACTATGGTCTTGAGGCTCTGCTTCTGAAACCCAACTGGCTGTGTGTGTCTGTGACTGAGAAAGCCCATCTCATAAGAGCAGATGCCTTGGAGTCAGGCAACCACACAGCACTATAGCCCAGGACAGGGTTTCTCCATAGCTTTGGAGCCTTTTCTGGAACCAGGCTGGCCTTGAACTCTCACCAGTGCGCGCCACTAATGCTGGGCACCCAGGACAATTTCTATGACCTCAGGCTAGATCTTTTGTTTTGTTTTTTGAGACAGGGTTTCTATGTGTAACAGTCCTGACTATCCTGAAACTAGCTCTTGTAGACCAGGCTGGTCTCGAACACATAAGAGATCCACCTGCCTCTGCCTCCCAAGTGCTGGGATTAAAGGGTGCACGGTCACCACCCAGCCTCAGGCTAGATCTTAACATAACCTCGCGCACTTAGAATTTCAGTGCTTGCAGGCAGGGAGGACTGGCCCCCAGGAGTGCATGTATGTACCTTGTGTACCTGTATACACCACACACTGCCCCTTATCCCCAATAGGGCAATAGTAGGATTCTTTGTACTTCAGTTTTCTTACTCATTTTATTTAGGTTTTTCAAGACAAGGTTTCTCTGTACCCTGACTGTACAGGAATTTACTCTGTAGACCAGGCTGGCCCTGAGCAATTCACCTTTCTCTCCCTCCTGAGTGCTAAGATAAAAGAGGCATGGGTTTCCAATGCCTACCTAGTCCTATTTTTAAATGGAGCATGGTGGTATATGCCTATAATCCCAGCATTTCTGAGACTGAGGTAGGAGGAGCACTCAATGATTAAGGCCAACCTGAGCTACAAAAACTTTGCCTCACACTCCACCAACAAATACAAATAAAACAGAACCATGACTGACTCCCTAGGATGTATCAGGACCAAGAGGGGCCTGGCATAATCAGCAAGATCTTTTTTTTTTTTTTAAGATTTATTTATCTATTATATAGGCAGTGTTCTGGCATGTATGCCCACACACCTCTGAGCCACCTCTCCAGCCCAATCAGCAAGATCTAATATAGGTACCGGATTTCCCTAACACTGACAACTAGATCTAGTAAAGCAAAGTGGGGAGGAAAGGGAAGTCTAGACCAAGGGCCAAAAATGCCATTTTTAGGAGAGGATGGTTACAGAACTGGGTAGCTGTGAGATCCCAGTTTGATGTAGGGTCTGGTCCAGCGGATACACGCAGGGTGAGCCATGTAAAGCCCTTGGTCCCTCTAACAAATGCTACAACTTGTGCAGCTCAACTAGAGCCGACACAGCAGGTTCTTACCAAGTTCTTTTTGATCTCACGATGCCAAGGGAAGATGTAGACCTACCCTTCACACTCTTGGGCTTGTAAGACCCAAAAGGGCTCAAAGCTTGTAGTCAGGGAACCTGGGTTTCAAATACTTTTCTGTCCCTTGAAGCTATTCAACATGGCTATATGACTCCATCTCTGAATCACAGTTCCTAACAATATCATGGCGTTACTAGCTCAGCCTCAGGCCTTTAAGCACAGAGAGCACCAGCCCTTACCAAGTGCTCTTTACATATTTGATGCCAAGGAGTCTGAAACTCCTCTCTGGTCCTGTTCTGCTTTAGGCAGAAACCCCGAATCCTTTACGGCTAGGCCTATAGGGAGCAAGGGAAATCCTGAGCGAATTGTGCATTACTCGACACCTGCAAGGCCACGCCAAGGACTCCAATGCATCAGAATCATAAAGACAGCAAAGGCTTTCCCAGCTGAGGCTCAGAGGATGACAGTCTTCCTTTGGTCCTAGTGTGAATGTTGACTATATACAGAAAATGTCCATCTTATCACCCTTCACCCCCTAAAGATACTTGCTACCTTAAGACTGCTCCACTGAGATTAGCTAAACCTGCTCCCTAGTTCAGATGCACACCGTTAAGTTCGGCCTCCCTGCTCAGCTGTATAGCATAACCCCCTCCAGTTATATACGACAACCCCCTTCCCTGCTCAGCTGTTTAGCATAAATATGAGGTGCTCACAGGCGCTGAGGCAGCCCCATCAGTATGAGCATAGCCCCCAAAATTAAAGAAGCAGGCATCTTGTGATCAACATCTCTTCCCTGATAAAATTAAGAAGGCTCAGCAGGTAGAATTCTTGTTTTTTATTTAGACTTGAGTTTTTCTTTTTTGTATAACTTATCTAATTAAAATATTCATCTTGGAGTTACCACAAAAAAGTAACATAGAAAATTGTATTTACATTTTGGGACCGAAATACAAATGAAGAGCAGGATGATGCTCACTCCTGCCCCTCCTGCCTCCAAAAAAGAGAAAGAAAGCCCCTGAGAACCCCTTGTTACACCAAGGATCGCAAAGGGCTAATCTGTCATTTGTGATTTGTAGTGTAGCACAGAAAAAAATTGCACAAGTTTTCACAAATGCAACTAAAAATTGAACATCACTGTGTGTCTGCTTTGTGGCTATATTGTGTACACTGGTGAGGGGTTGTGGAGACGGTTGGCTCCCTGGGTCCCCTCACCACTCTCACCAATCACATCCCTGACACAGACACTCTTGAAGAGGTGGAAGATCTGGCTCTAAGCAAACTGGCTGCATCAGAAATCAATGTGCCAAACCAGACACTGACACCGGAGATAGACAAATCTGTGCCCTTTCTTCCCCTAGGCCTACGCACTCCAAAGAAGGGGAATTAAATTATACACAACTGAATCTAGAACAGGAAAGACGGCAATGGAAAGTCTCAGAAACAGAGCTAAGGCAGATCTGAGGTGGTCAACACCCAGAGGGGCTGTTCTGAGCACCAGATGCCTGGCTCCTGGTGCAAACGTCCCCTTGATTTCAGGTCAGAGACCTGATGGTAGATTCGAGGTCAGGCTAAGAGAGAGGTGGTATGTGAAATAAGCAATCCAGAGAAACATGCTTTACTCAATCCCAAAATACAGCAATACTTGTGTCCCATGGCAACAGGCATCCTGCGTGGCAATGCAGGTTTCCTGTGCTGCCTTGGAGTCTTCATTAGCCTGAGGTCTGCAGGGTGGTTAAAAACAACGTAGACAGGAGTGATGGCACAGGTCAGCAATCTGTCCCCTCAACTTCACAGCTTCTTTCACTTGGCGTATAACCAAGTGAGTCCTACTAGCTCCATACCTTCTGACTGCAAGGAAGGAGCTGGTGCTGCCCTTAGTTTTCTGATCTTGCCTCCATGTCAGCTGGAAAGAGCTTCCCTCCCTTCAGAACTGGCTGGCTAGCTGGGACCAGGTTTCCCTGACTCAGTGTGTATAGTCCAGCCCCTCCCAAAGGTGGCCCTTCCTCCTAACTCTGGCCCTCACTCAGAAGGTAGAGGGAGGGCTTCCCAGCAAGTTCTCTGCCGGACACAGCACCTGCTGTGCTCTTCCAGTCTCCTGATCTTTCCTTTAAAACAAAAAGTTTCCAACAGAGCACTACAATGTTTCAAATAATTCACTCCTAGTAGTAATTCATAGGGAACAAGAGAGTAAAGTGCTGGCTTTTCAGAACCCCAAAACCCACATTCAGAGCTACAAAAGCCCTGCCGTGTCTGTATTTCCCGGTGGTGTAAGGAAAGGAAAAATAAGGGGTTGTCGGGGAGGGGCTAAAATACTGAACCAGAAACTAAAAATCCTAAACCTGCTGAGGTCCTATGCAAATTAGACCCAAGGCTCTGTCCTCCAGTGAGCCTTAGAACAGGGAGGAGCGTGATTTGCAGAAGACGGAAGAACTCTAGACTCTGCAAACAACCTTCCTTAGCAAACACTACTGAAGGACAGGGAAGAAAGACCCTGCCCAGAACTCCTGATGGTCTCAGAGTGAGGACCCTCTGAACAGTTACTATGTCAAGACTCCCCTGGAGGACAGGCAGTCCAGCACTTCCTAACTCCTGGCCCCATCCATATTTGGGTTTGAAGTGACACACAAGCTCTGGGAACAACCTTTTGGACCAGTGTCTACTCAAAAGACCTGACCCAGAACGAGACTGGCTTTTGCTAGACTCATCTAACTTTAATAAAAGACCTGGAAAATAAAATGCTAAATATACAATAGAGGGGTAAAAAATTTTTTAAAAATTAAATTTAAAAAAAATTATTATTTAATTAAAAAAAAACCCTGGGGGTACTATAAATACATCTGGGGGCAATATTTATTAATTAAAACTATGTCTTATAGTTTACAAAGATGCTAATTAGCAATAAAAGTATAATTGACCTTAAAGTCCTCAGTAAGACTGAGACTTCATACTGTCTTCAGAAATCTGAAGTGTGCTCCAGGCAGGGTGCAGGGTTGTGGCACACAGGAAGATACCTGCAACTGTGCAGGAGTCAGAGGCCAAAAGTTCCACAAAGCAAAAGATATGGGTCTTCTGTGGACATCTTCTTCTCCTGTCCCTACCATCCCTGTATTTCTGCTTCCCAGACTCCACCACCAAGGCAAGTCCTATTTATCGTCGGGAGAATCTGTTCTTGAAAGCTTTAATTGTCTTAGCCATCATTGGGGCAATTTCTGTGAAGGAAAAGGAGGCAGTTGTTTCAGATGGGCGGTAGCACAGAAATGCACCACTGTGGTTCACAGCAAAAGCCAGACTGAGTTTGCTCCCCTGGCTGTGTACTGACCCCAACATACATGGACACGAACCATTTGCTAGTGCTGTCATAGAAACCACATCATGAGGCAGATCCTTGCTGTGACCACACAACCACACACACACACACACACTTACTTACGGACGGACAGACAGACACAATCTGCTAATGCTGCCATAAAAATCACATCATGAGGCAGACCCTTGCTGCAACCACACACACACACACACACACACACACACACACGCACGCACGCATGAATGAACGCATGCACACAGTACACACATGCGTAAGCACATGGACACAGACATGGACACAAACAGGAACTATCTGCTAGCGCTGCAATAGAAATCACATCGAGGAAGTTCCTTGCCGCGACCCTGCAAGTACAGAACCACCACCATCCTTAACACCATAGCTCTCGAAGATCAGCTGACGTGTTCATGGTGGCTGTGTCAAATCAGGAGTCTTTGCTGACTATAGGGGCCATAGTCCCACGATTTAACATTGCAACATAAACATTCAAACCAGTAAATAATACACAAACCTCCCCCACAGCTTCCCAACAAGATTCAGATGAGCTAAATTCAAAACACCTGAGGATGGCCAGCCTGCCCTTGGCTAGTGACCTATGCCAAGTTGACAACTGTGCCAGGATCCCCACCCACCCACAGCCCTGCTCCCATCAAAGTTGCTTACTTTTCACAGCTGGCTTCCTAGGATCATAGGAAACAGAACTGCTAGCCACTGGAGCTAAGTGGGCACTACTGGTACTGGGCCCATCAAAGGCCAGCTCCTCGGGGCTGGAGTGGAAGCTGCTGCTGCTGTTGCTAGCAGCAACATGGCTGCTTCCTGTTGTATATGGTGCTGGCTTAATCCTGTAACACAGAACAAAGTTGCTTAGCTGGAAGCATGTGATCTGAAACAGCTGTTCTGGGTGAGCCCGGTGTGGCTCTGAGCAGTAGGCTGATACACTGAGTTCTGGTGAAGGTTTAGAGGCAACTGTTGAGCCCATCAGTGAGAATGACAGTCTCAGCTAAACTGTGGCTGTTAAATTGTTAGTCTATAATTCGAAAATGCTGACGTGGCCTAGAATCATCTAGTCACCCTAGAAATTTATTTTGTTTTGCTGTGTGTGTAAACTGTGCTCACGTGGAGGCCAGAAGTGAAGCCTGGGTGTCATTTCTTAGGAGTCACTTGGTTGTGAGACCTAGAGCTGACTGCACAGGCTAGGCTGGCAGGCCAGTGATCCACTCCCAGCATTGGGATCACAGGTACACATCGTCCCCATCTGTCTGTCAGCATTGGTGCTGGGGATCAAACTCAGATCTCAAGTACTTCATCGGCTGAGCGATCTCCTCAACCCTAGAAATAGTTTTGTTTAAATGAGAAAAATGAAAGCGGAGGTACACTTCCTTGAACCAGGTCCTGTTCTCCACGAAACTGACCTGTGTCCCTGACCAAGAAGCAGAAATAATCTATCCAGGGGCTGGAGAGATGGCTCAGCGGTTAAGAGCATTGCCTGCTCTTCCAAAGGTCCTGAGTTCAATTCCCAGCAACCACATGGTGGCTTACAACCATCTGTAATGAGGTCTGGTGCCCTCTTCTGGCCTGCAGGCATACACACAGACAGACTATTGTATACATAATAAATAAATATTTAAAAAAAAAAAAAAAGAAAGAAAGAATCTATCCAGGCAGCAGGCCCAGACACTGAGGGGCCAAAAGGTGGAGTGCAGACCCAGTAAGCACTCCAGAGCACGCTCTGGTCTTTACCCCCAAAATAAGTCACTTCCTGTCCCCCAGCTCTCCTTCATGAAATGACCATGCGGCAGCAGAGATCTTGCCTGACTTTCTCTGGGACAGCTGCTCCTCCAGTTCCAAACTTCTCCTGCCTTCGTCGGACATCTCGAGGTGGTTTGGCCACAGAGTTGACAAAAGCCATTTTTGCTTGTCGTCCTAGGAGAAACACAACATCAATATTTACTTCTTAAACAAAGGTACTGCTGCCAATTTAAACAATCTACAACTTTAGAAAGCCCCCAAACTAGTGCTCAATCAGGCCAAGACTGTCTGGGAGCAGCCTGTGGCAAAAGAAAAACCTTGCCTGCCCACATGCAAAGAGACATTTCGAGGATGGTAGCCCATCTCCACCAGGTCCACCGAGACTCTGCTGCTGACTCAAGCACCCAGCTGGCTGCCCTTGCACAGCTCCCACTTCTTTTACCTTTCGGCTTATTGGCATGTGCAGACCGGATGTTGTTGGTGAGCAGGCGCAGCCGCTGCTCTCTGGCATCCTGAAGCCGCAAGTACATCTCCCGCCAGGACTCGTACTCTTCTGGTCGTTCTTCCTTAAAGTCTCGGTGACAGTGAACTTTCCATAACTGATTTGTTTCCTCCATTAATGCCTGCAATCAGGCCAGGACATCATTTTGATACAAGTGCCCTGCTTCTCTCCTTGCTGCCTTGGCATGACCCACTGCCTAACAGTTGGGGGGGGGGATCTAAACAATAGTATTATAGTACCACAGTTCTAAAAAAAAAAGGCAAATCACCAAATTAAACATGCAGGTAAGTTGTAGGCACTATGCTAATCACCCTAGAACTAGTCTTTTTCTTTTTAAATTTTTTTTATTTTTTATTTATTACGTATACAATATTCTGTCTGTGTATGTCTGCAGGCCAGAAGAGGGCACCAGACCTCATTACAGATGGTTGTGAGCCACCATGTGGTTGCTGGGAATTGAACTCAGGACCTTTGGAAGAGCAGGCAATGCTCTTAACTGCTGAGCCATCTCTCCAGCCCAAGTCTTTTTCTTCAGAAATCAGCAACAACAGAGCTGGGGTAAAGTCAAAGGTTTGCCAGCAATATACCGAACTGCCATGCAAGAGGGCTACCTTGGAGGTCTTGAATAGTGAGATCAGATAAGTGTATCTGCCTTCTAGGAAGGATTCCAAATGTCTAGCATGGGCTGTCACTTTTACTAGACACACAAGTGTCAACACTAAACAAATCTCCCTGGATCCCAGATGCTTTGTTGCCAGAATTTCCCATTTACCTTCATGACTAGGCAAAGTCAAGGGACGCTTTGAAAGTGTTTTTCCCTGTGTTTGAATCCCAGCCCCCTGCTTAAGATCCCCAGAGAGCCTGGGTGGTGGTGGCGCATGCCTTTAATCCCAGCACCCAGGAGGCAGAAGCAGGAGGATCTCTGTGAGCCAGATGCCAGTCTGATCTATAAGAGTGTGTTTCAGGACAGGCTCTAAAGCTACAGAGAAACTGTCCCCCCCCAAACAAACAAACAAACAAACAAAAAGTCTCATGGGTAAAGGAAAGGAACTTGCCATACAAGCCTGTTGATCTAAGTCTGGTTCTCAAACCCATGTAAAGACAGAAGAGAAGCAGCTCCACAAAGCTGTCCTTTGACCTCTCCATACAGACAATACATGCACACACACTAATTTTTTTTTTTTTAAAAGGAGGTGGGCATAGGGACACACACCTTTAATTTTAGCACTCGGGAGACAGGGGCAGGAGGATCTCTGTGAGGCTAGCTTGGTCTACATATTGAGTTCAGAGCAACCAGACCTTGTCTCAAAATTAAAAAAAAAAAAAAAAACCAACAAACAAACCAAAGAAGGATCCCAGGAGTAGGCAAAAAGCATGCTTAGTTAAAGGCCCAGATGCAAACCAAACATGCCCAGAACAGTGATCTAGTGACGTGTCCTCTGACCTGCCCTTCAGCCATATCAGACCAGAGACAAAACTGTTTGTGGAAACTCAGCCAGGAAGCTGCCCTGCTCCCACTTGGGACACTCACGTGATTGCATTCCTCTATTCGATAGAGCTGATCAGGTGTACACCTCTCCAGGACGGGTTCAAGAACAGAATAGGGGACTCCTCCCACTTCATAGATAGCTGCAGAGGAACCAGAGGTGACAAGGTGAGTGCTGAATGGCAGCCAAGCTCTTTGGTGACAAAGCCCAGTGTGGCAATGACTTGAGAGGTGGAGACTCACAGTCGATGTTGTTCTTAAGCACCCGGATACACTGCTGGTGCAAGGTCATCATTTTGGGGAGATAGGCACACTTGGAACCTGAATACACCTGCATCTTAGAATTCATTCTGCGTCCTGTGAATCCAGCTTCTTCTTCTTCCTGGGGTGAAGAGAATGCTGTCGAAAGAAAAAAACCAGCAAGTCACAAAAGGTCTAAGTCACATGGTGAAGACTCTGAACCCACATGGCAGCTCACTACCTTCTGTGACTCCAATCCCAAGAGCTCCTACATCCTCGACTACAAAGTGATTTATAGGCCAGTCAAGGCTACACAGTGAGACTCACTTAAAATATTAATAAATAAATAAATGTAAAGATGTCCAAAATTACCTTTTCGCTTTGGCTGGAAGGAAGAAATCAACTCGAGGGAAGGAAGGGGACGGTAGTTGCTTTGTATAGCAGGTAAGGGGATGTCTGGCAACGCTGGCAGCACATCAGTAGGGGCCTGCAAGAGACAGAGCGCAAAGCTGATCCTGTAAGCACCAGGTTTTTCCCTGCGCTAATCCCAGAGTTAATCAAGCATACTGCACAGGGAGATAGAGATAGATCCAGGCTAGAGGGGGACAGAAGTCATGAATGACACCATCTAGGTTAAGAAATAAATGTATAATTGGGTGGTGGTAGCACACGCCTTTAATCCCAGCATTCGGGAGGCAGAGGCAGGTGATCTCTGTGAGTTCGAAGCCAGCCTGACCTACAGATCAAGATCTAGGACAGCCAGGGCTCCTCACCACCCAAATAAATAAGTAAACGATAAAATGTAGATAGGACAACAACAAGTCCTTGAAGAAAAATTTTTGAGGTGCTAAGAAGTAAATGTAGGACCCCACACTCTTGGGCGAGCCCTGTACTACTGAGCTACCTACCTCCTCAGCCCACAATAGGTCTTGGGTAGCATCCATGCTAGCAACTAGTGAGGCCCAGAACATATTCCTACCACTCGAAACTCACTTGGCTAAATGCCAGCAAGCCAGGTGGCATGGCAGTGGCTCTGTGCACTCAGCAGGCTAGGCGCTGGGTGGCAGCAGTACCTTTCTTACCTTTCGAGACCTGGGAGGCTCAGCTACCACTGGCTGTGACTTCTCGGACTTGTTTTCATTGACCTTGGGCAATTTCTGAACTGAGTTCAAGTTTTTACTAACGCTTTTGGAGTCCTTTTTTTTAAGTCCTTTTTCTCCAAGTGCTGTGGTTGAGGGTTTCACAACCTTCTTCTTTTTCTTGCGAGGCTGGTCATAGCTGAGGTATGACTCAAAGGACATGGTGGGCTGCTCAAACTCATCATCCACCTCCGGCTCCTCTACTTTAGGGAGCGAGGCTGGTGACTTTCGATCCGAGTTAGATCTTCCTTTTCCCTCCGGGATCTTCAGACTGTTGGGAGCTTTCTCTTTTGCTTTGAGCAGCAGGTCCCCTGTCCCTCTCCCCGAGTCTAAGCCGTCTGCACTCGGCTTGTTCCTGTCTGCTTTGCTCTTCTCGGAGTCCTTGTGTTTGGGCTTTCTAAAGTGGTTTTCTGAAACAGCCTCTGAGGCAGGTGAAAACTTCTTCTTGAGACTGTTGCTCTCTCTGTCCTTCTCTTTCTTAGCAACACTAGAGGGTGGCTTCCCCTTGGCACTGTCCCCTGAGAGCAGCCTTCGGTTCTCCTCTTTGGAAGAGGCCTTGTGTGATGATTTCTCTCTGCCCAGGGCAGAGCCCTTCTCATCACCTCTGGCATCCACAGGCCGTTTCTCCTTGTGGGAAGATTTGTGCTCCTTGTTTTGGCTTACAGCCCCTTTCCCCTGGTGCTCACCCAAGTGTCGTTCTTGACTAGCTCCTAGTCTGTCCTGAAAGGTATTACTGTGGACTTTTCCAGGCTTCTGGTGTGAAATGATGGGCTCATGGTCCTCCTCTGGCGACCTATAGTGGTCGGTGTACATTTGATGTGGACTGGAAGGTGGGGGGGATTGAACATGGCCATAGTCAGAAGACTCAGGGTCTGAAGAATATGGTGGTGACACTCTGTGACACCTCTTTCTTTCATCCCTCCTCTCGTGACTGTGAGCCACTTTGTGAGGCCTTTCAGGCTCAGAGAGTTTCTTGTGTTTTTTCTGCCTGTGCTCAGGACTGTAGGACCGACTGCCAGAGGCTTTCCAACTTTCCTGGTAGTCCCCCTCCACTTCCTCCACCCTCTGAAGAGCATCTCGGGGGCGCTTTCGGGAACTGCTCTTCTCCAAATCTTGATCCTCAGCTTCATTGTTTCTAAGATAAAAGCAAAAGCAGAAGGAAATCTCAGCATAAACCTCTCTAGATAAAATCACAGACCCCGATGTTAAACATGGAGGGTAAATCTATAATCCTAATATTTGGGAGGTGAGGACAGGAGGATCAGAAGTTCAAGGCCATCCTCTTCTACAAGGGACTGGCTCAGCCAGGTGGTGGTGGCGCATGCCTTTAACCCCAGCACTCAGGGAGGCAGAGGCCAGCCTGGTCTACAGAGTGATTTCTAGGGCAGCCAGGACTATACAGAAAAACCTGTCTCAAAAAAAAAAAAAAAAAAGGAGAGACTGGCTCACCACAAAATAAAATAACAAAAGTCAGGCCAATAGTGGTAGCTCATACCTATAACCCCAAGATCAATGAGACTAAGATAGGACTGTTGAGGAATCAGATGTTCAAGGTCATCCTGTTCCATAGTATGTTTTAGGCTAGATTGAGTCACAAAATGAGATCCTGTCTAAAGAAAGATATTAAGGTCAGCCTGACAGCTCAGCAGGCGAAAATACTTGTCATGCAAGCCTGGTGACCTGTGTCCAATCTCACGGTGGCAGAAAAGAACTGACTCTCAAAAGCTAGAGCATATACCCACCCCGCCCCCCATAATAAACAGAAAGAACAACCAAAGGGTATAGTTCAGTGGTAAGATAACGTGCTTAGTATGTGAGAGACCCTGGACTCAATCTGCAGCATCAAATCCTCAAACAAAACAAAAAATACCCAACAAAATGTTAATGTTTATCATTAAAAAAGAACTGTATACCCAGGCATGATGGTACATGCCTTTGATCCCAGCACTCAGAGAGGCAAGCAGATGTGAAGTCAAGGCCAGCCTGGCTTACAGAGTTCCACCAGGGTCATAGAGAGAGACTCAGTCTTAAAAAACAAAAGCAAAAACATTGTAAGAAAAAAATATGTGATTCCATTTTACTTCTTATTTGATAGGTAGCATGCCCTGTGCACATCTGGAGATCCGAGGATAACCTGTGGGACCCAGACCTCTCCTTTCACCATACAGGTACCAAGGATCAAACTCAGGTTGGTAGTAGGTGGCAGGTGACCCACAGGGCCATCTCCTCGGTCCCTAAGGAATTTTGATTCGTTTTTTGTTGTTGCTGTTGTTGTTGGTTTGCTTGTTTTGTCTTTTGAAACAGGGTTTCTCTGTGTATCCCTGGCTGTCCTGTAACTCAGATTGCCTGTCTCTTAAGTGCTGGGATTAAAGGCATGAGCCATTTTGATTGTTAATATTTTATTGTATATTCTACAATAGCCTACAATAATTACGGGTTATTTTTATACTTGAAGCATTATAGTTATTTGATATAAGAAGCAGAACAAGCAAAGAAGAAACATTCTTACCGCTCTACAGGAACCAACTTCTTCCATTGGGCCACCAAGTCTCTGGCAAAGTTCCCCACTTGTTCATGCTTTCGAAAGCTGTTTACTGTTTTCCCTACCCCAGTCTCCTACAAATTTAACAAAGGAATTCATTGAGGGTTCTGAAACTAAGGGTATATTTTTCTAAAGAAATAAGGCCTCCCCTTTGAGAAAAGGAACAAGCAAATACTTCCCTATTAAAATGCTTTCTAAGCCTTATACTAAATTACTTTGTTGCCTATGCCCAAAGATCTGACTCTAAGTAATAAAGCTCACAGGGTTAGAGAAGTGTGTCATCAAAACATCCCAGAACCGTAACAATGTAACAAGGAGGGGAGGCAGTGGACCCTGGGCTTAAGATCCTGCATGCCCTATACGAGTCAGTGTTCATCACAGCCCTAGAGGTAGGAAGTAATCAGCCTCACTGTACAGAGGCCCAGCCAGAGTTAGATTTGATTTTCTTCTTAAAGACAGGGTTTCACTCTGTACACCAGGCTAGACTCAACTACAAATGCACACGGAGCCATGCCTGCCTAGAAGATGGACTAGAATTTAGGAGTAGTAAATATCAAAGCCAATGTTCTTTTTATGTTTTGTTTTGTTTTTGTTTTTGAAGACAGTTTTTTTCTGTGTGTAGTCCTGGCTATCTTGTAACTCTCTCTGTAGATCAGGCTGGCCTTGAACTCACAGAGATCCTCCTGCCTCTGTTTCCCCAGTGCTGGGATTAAAGGTGAGTGCCACCATGCTTGGTTCCTTAGTAAGCACTCTTAACCACCCATGCACCTCATCTATCTAAATTCTGAACTGAGGGTTAGAGTGATGGCTTTGCAGTTAAGAGCAATTACTGCTCTTGCCGAAAACAGGAATTCAATCAGCACCCATATTAGGTAGCTCACAATTAATTGCCTGTAACTTTAGTTCCAGTCAATCTGAGGTCCTGTGGCCACTTTGGGCATTTAAACACATAATACTCAAAGTTATTCAGGTACAAAGTAAAAGAATAAATTTTTAAATTTTGGACTAAAATTCATATAACAGAAATGGAAGTGTAGCTCAGCTGAGAATGCTTTTCTATCATCTGTAACATCCTGGGCTTGTTCTACAGCACACCTGTCCACCTTAACACATGACATAAAATTCACCATCTTAAAGTACATAGTGATTTCTAGAACATTCCTCATCTGAGCAATAATTACCATCACCTAACTCCAGAACACAAAAAGAAGCGCTGTTCCTCCCAACTCCCCCAGCCCCTAACAACCACGCACTTTACCTACTTTCTGACTTTGCCGTTGCCTATTCCGGACATCTCATAAGAACAGACTCAGACAGTGTGCAGTGTTTTGTGTCTCGCTTCTTTAGCTTGTAAAGCCTATCCTCGAAGTCTCTCTCTACCCTTCTCTGGTGGGAAACATTTGCAATATAGTCAGGTAATATTTACAGTTACAAAAGTCTTACCACAAGAATGTCTACTGTGATAGGCAAGATGGAAAGTTTCTTCAAATATTTCAAGAGCTGCAAAGAGAATAAAACAAATATTAACTTCTATAGTCATAACCGTCTTCTCTGGAGCAGACAAGACTATCTGATGGTGGAACCCTTTATAGTAACAACTATGGGTGTATGATCTTACAAGTGTAAGGCACAGTGGAACAAGGGAACTTTCGTCTATGGTTTTAGAGTCTGTGCTTTTTAAAAAAAATAGATTTTTTTTTTTGCTGAGTAGTGATGGTGCACACCTTTAATCCTGGCACTCAGGAGGCAGAGTCTGGCAGAGTCTGTGAGTTCAAGGCCAGCCTGGTCTACAGAATGAGTTCCAGGACAGCCAGAGCTACATAGAGAAAACCTGTCTAAAAACAAACAAATAAGTGTGTGTGTGTGTGTGTGTGTGTGTGTGTGTGTGTGTGTGTGTTTGAGCACATATGTGTATGTCTGTGGAGGTCAGAGAACAACCTTAAAAATTACTGGTTTATGCAAGCTGGGCATGGTAATGCATACCTTTAATTATATATACCACTAGGTGAGAAGCAGTGGTCAGCCTGGTCTACATAGGAACCCTGTGTCAAAAATCAAGCAATCACTGCCTACCTCCTTTGATACCAGGTCTATCACTAATTAGGCTAGACTCAGTGATCCATGAATCCCCAGGTTCCTGTCTCTGCCTCTCCAACACTCAAATTATAAGAGCGCAACACCATGCCCAGCATTTTTACATGGAACAGGTGATTGAACTCAAACCCTAATGCTTCTGAAGTAAGCATGTTACCAAATGAGTTATATCTTCCCAAGTCTTCTTCTGTGGCTTTCAGTTGATTATAATACTAGAAATTGAACCTATTTGTTTACCCATGTTGACAAGTGCTTTATCACCCAGCCTTCTCTCCACTTTTAGAGACAATGTCTCACTAGCTTCCTCAGGTATGGTCTTGACTTCTGAGCTTCCTGCCTTCGTTTTTGAATAGGGATTACAGGAATCTTGCTACTTGACCTAGCTAGAGTCTGTGGTTTCAACTGCTTTCCTTCTCTAAGGAAAGAAAGAGGCAGAGAAGAGAATTAAAACTCAATAACTGGGAATGGAGAGATAGCTCAATGGTTAAGAGCACTGGCTGCTCTTCCAGAGGACCCGGGTTTGATTCTCAGTACCCACATGGCAGTTCAAATGATCTCATCTGTAACTCCAGTTCCAGGGGATCCAATACCCTCTTCTGGTCTCCAAGAGCAGCAGACATGCATAAAGTACATAGACATTCATGCAAGCACAACACCCATACACATAAAACAAAAATTTTAAACCCTTGCTAACTGGCCTGGTATTCATGTCTATAATCCCAGCATTTAGGAAACTGAGGCAGGAGGAACACCATGAATTCAAAGGTCACCTGGGTTTCAGAGAATGACCCCACCCCTCCCCACAAAAACAACCAAATAAAGCCACCAGCAACTATTACTTTGCAGAGGATTGTAAAAGGTTAGGGAAATGACCCAGAACTTGATAGGATGGGAAGCAGAACAAGGACTCCACAGGAACAGAGCCCTACCTACAAGCCTCCTCAAGAGCTGCAGTGCGAGCACAAGTGTTTTCAACACAAATGGGAAGCCAAGATCAATCTCGGGTTGCTGGAGTCAGAGCTTTAAGGCTAATGATGACCAAACATGCCTGGGTAGATCAGAAAGATCTGGGTTTGCCCATTTCCTTTCTAAAGTCTCTAAAACTAGGTCAAAACTGGTAGGACAAAGCTCAAGATGGAGTCAGAGGCAGGTTGTCTTAGCTGATCTCTTGTCTGATTTTGTGCAAGTCAGTAACCTCCCTGAACCTTAGTTACTTCATCTGCAAATCAAAACTGGATTCTCCGTCTGCTGCACAGGCTGTGACGATTTACTGGGACAAACCATGTGCTTAGTCATGGTGTCTCCAACACTATTAAACATGTCCACCCCTAATCATTTCATTCATCAACCAACAGCTCTTTCCATGTCCTACTCTTGAACCTGGACCAGACACTGCTCAGTCAATTCCTACTTACTTTATTTCTACAAAAGTCAGGATTGCCCAAGCCTTTTTCTAAGAATATAAACACTTTCCATACCGGGAGTATAGCAAAGTACAAGCAATGTAGAACTGATAACTGAGCCAGCTGTAGCAGTACACTCTTATGATCCCAGCACCCAGAGTTGGATGCTAGCCTGGGCTACATTTGAATACCAGGCCAGCTATATGACAAACCCTCACTCAAAAAGCCAAAACACGGGACATGAGAGACAGGGCAGTGGTTAAAAGCACTTGCTCTTCCAGAGAATCCAAGCTCAGTTCCCAGAACCATTTGGCAGTTCATAGCCACCTGTTACTCCAGCCTTAGGGCACCTGTTGCCCTCCTCTGGCTTTCTACCCACATGCATGTGTACAAACGAACATGCAGACATACACATATGTGTCTAACAATTTTAATTTTAAAAAAGCCAAACAGGGTTTAAGAGATGGCCCCAGAGCTAAGAGCACTGGCTACTCTTTCAGAGGACCTGGGATCAATTCCCAGAACCCATATGGTGGCTCACAACTGTTTCTAACTCAAGTTCCAGAGGATTCAATGCCCTCTGCAGGCCTCCATAGGCATCAGGCACACATCTGAAACTAATACTGATAAAAAATAAAAATACACACTTTTTAGAAGCCAAAATAAAAAAATCGATAACTAGCTGCCTTTACATTTAAATAATAGACAGCAAGATATTTTCTTTCTTCTTTGAAGTTCAGGCTGTAATTGGTCTGCCGTATCACTACAAGGTGGGGCAGCAAGTATGTTTTTCTGGTCATTCTACTTCCATAATTACTTAACATGGTCTCCAGGCAGAACAATTGGATCACAGGTGACAATCTTGTTTGACTGGGAATAAGAGTCCCTGTGGTGTATCTTGGGAGTATGAAACTTAATGGAGTAAAAACTGTACTCAAACTCCAACTCCTCCATGGTCCAACTCAGGAAAGAGCGTACGGGCATTTCTTGTCACATAAAGTGCAAAGGTTAAAGTCAATTCACATTTCCTGAAAGGGAAATCTGGAATTATTGAAAAGAGTTAAGATAGGTGGTTCTTCTCTAATGTGAATCCCTAGAAGGGGAACATTTATATACCATTCACGGTGTGCCGGTATCATGCTAAGTTTGTCTCATTTGACCCTGTCTAGTGGGTATTATTCTCCTATTTTATCCACATTGAAGCTGAGCCAAGTGAGGTTTCAAAGCTTTCCTAGCGAGCCAAGAAACACCTAAGATAAAAAAGGGAGCACATATCAACTCATGCACTGAGCACTTAAAATGATAGAAGAAAGCAGGCACTCTTCTTCAGTACCATGCTCACAGTCCACAAGGCAGAGGCGGTCACAAGGACACAGTTATACTACCTCCACACAGTCAACATAGAAGGGTGGAGCCAGAAGTCACAGAGGATGTGTTCATCTCAAGACTTAGCCACTAACTGGCAAAGTGAGAGTTGCTTGTCTTTTGCCTTGGGGCTAGAAGACAAAATGAAAACTCCTGAGACTTTCAAGCTGATTTGGTCCAATGTAAGGGAAAATGAACTTCACCATCTCCAGTTTTTAGTAAATGCCAAGAAAGACTGAAGCACTAACAAGGGGAAAGCACTATGGGTATTCCCAAGTAGATGAAACTTGTGTTGTCAACCAAGTAGCATCTATAGAGCCAGCAAGAACTGATAACAGATGATTGAGAAGTATCAAAAATCTGTACAGCAGCAAGCTGAGAGATCTGGGCCTCCTGCCCACTGCTTCCACCCTTAAAGCCAATGAGGTTCTCAACAGTGACCTCTAGTTCTCTACCTACCAATCTGTGAGCTTCATAGTTTCACACTGAAAACTGAACAGAAGACTGCTAACTTTATCAATCACGAAAACCATTTCTGATCCCATAGTAAGAAAAAAAGTTAATTGTCTCTCCTAGCACCCTCTTTATCAAGTGAGCCTATACCTTGGATGAATGTGGAGTGGATAGATATTTATATTTACATTTAAAATACCAAAGTCTAATAGTAGGAGTCCCAGAAACACGGGTGTGGACTCAGCCTTGGCTAATGATGGTCTGGAAGATTTGGTTGCGAATTCAGTCCTGCTCTATAATCATCTCGCCGTTTCCAGAACCTGTGAGAGCTTGCTGTGTTAAAGGAGTCTGGAAAGCCAGTACGCCAGCTTCCAATTTTCCCTCTGCACTCCGCTTGTTTCTGAATGTCAACAATCAGACCCTTTGCAAAGCGGTCTCAATATTTTCCTCTTTCCTCACCTTCCTAGTGCTCTCTTCGTGACACATTCAGTTCTCCCTCTCCAGTGGATACAGAACCCAGGAGCCCAAGTAGTTACACCCCCAGCCCCAAGGTAATTTTCTATTTAGGAAAAGTCAGATAGGGCTTTCAGTAGTAGAAAGCTTGTCTGCTAGTGTTAGCACACAAGTCCCTGGGCGCAGATGCCAGCACCACAGAACCGCCACCAAATGACAACAACAAAAACACCAAATACCTTTTGAAAAACATTCCTAGTAGTTCAAGAAAACTTTTTTTTTTTTTTTTTTTTGGTTTTTCAAGACAGGGTTTCTTTGTAGCCTTGGAGCCTGTCTTGAAACTCAACTCTGTAGACCAAGTTGGCCTCAAATTCAGAGATCCGCCTGCCTCTGCCTCCCGAATGCTGGGATTAAAGGCTTGCGCCGCCACCACCACCAGGCAAGAAAACCTACTTAAACTTTCCCTAACTCGAAAGCACAACTAGAAAGATCATTTCAAAATTTAAATTCTAATGGGGGAGGGAGGGGCCCTATAGATAGTATATGGAGTTATTGATTTTTTTTAAATCTAATGGGAAAATGCCCAAATGAGGATGGTTACTTTAAGGTCACCGACAAATATTACAGTGTACTGGTACTTGAAAATAATGACCATTAGATGCCCACAGAGGGTTATTGTAAAAAGAAACTGTAAACGTTTGACCGAAGGTACCAAAGCCGCCATAGAAAGTGAGACAAAAGACAATAGAAAACATTAAGTTTTCACTAATTTAGAACATAGCTTCCTGAAGAAGTATATTTCCGAACTGAATGATTGGAGTAGGCCAGGGGATGGTGGTACACGCCTTTAATCCCAGCACTCAGAGGCAGAGGCAGGGGGATCTCTGTGAGTTTGAGACCAACTTGGTCTACAGAGTGAGTTTCAGGACTGGCTCCATAGCTACTGAGAAACCCTGTCTTAAGAAAGAAAAGAAAAGCCGGGCGGTGGTGGCGCACGCCTTTAATCCCAGCACTCGGGAGGCAGGCGGATCTCTGTGAGTTCGAGACCAGCCTGGTCTACAAGAGCTAGTTCCAGGACAGGCTCCAAAACCACAGAGAAACCCTGTCTCGAAAAAACCAAAAGAAAAAAAAAAAGAAAAGAAAAGAAAAAAGTGGCCTGGTGGTGAAAGGTAGCAACCTTCAAAAAACGAAAAAACCTCTCTGGGACCCGCTAGGAACAAGAGTAAATGGGGTCCTTGACTGGAAATTCTGAAAGATGGCGATTAACACAGAGCACTTGGGTCCCCCTGGCATTTCAGGAAGAAAATAGAGACAGGCGGAGCAAAGACCTCCCCTAAAGCCCAGACCTGGTGCTGAATGGGAACCTAGATTGTACTTAGAAGCCCGCTGCCTCCCTCCACTACTTCCTCGTCCACTCAGCTCGCTGAAGACTTCACACCTTTTAGGAACCGCGGGTCCAGGCGAAAATGCTGACAAGCAGTGTCACACCCTTCGGTATGTTCATCCAGAGACTTCAATGATCACTATTCTAACGCCCATTATATCTTCTCCTAGACCCCGGAGATGCCGAGTCACCAGGAGACCAGGAGTGGAAACAATGTATTTAAAGTAATAGTTTCTAACAGAAGCAACAAAGTAGTCAAGTGCAATTAAACGTGGTTTCTCCGGGGCTGGCGGCTCCCACCTTTCCGTAAGTCAGAGCCATGTAATACTCTCACGCCTGGCCCAGGAGCAGAGCTCGAAAACCCAAGGCTTTCCTCGTTTTCTCGGTTAAAGGACAGAGAGGAGAGCGGGGGTCCTCGCACCGCTGAACGGCGGAGCCAGAGGACCCCAGCCAGCCGGACAGCGTCGCTCGGCTGGGACGGGGAAACAGCTGGCGCGGCTGCCCGAGCCCCGGGAAAGCCGCCAGGCCAGGCCGCCCGTGCCCCCCTTGAGTCCTCAGCACCCAGCCGGGACGCGCCCGCCGGCTGCGAACTCTCCACTACCCCGCGCCGCTCCGCGGGGCCTGGCTCCGGGTCCAACGAGGACCCAGGCTCACCCGGCCCGCGACCGTTACCGGGCCCGCGCCCTGCCCAACGCCCGCCCGCGCCTCCGGCCCGCCCGCCACTCACCTTCTTAGGGTCGGGGTTCGTGGCCAGGCGCGCCTGCAGCTTCTCCACAACTTGGAGCGCCGACTCCGCCGCCATCGCTGTCACTGGCGCGGCCTCCTCGCCGGAACTGGGCTCGCGTCGCGTCCTCGGGCCGCAACTCCGCCCTCCGTGCGGCCCCGGCGGAGACGGAAGCGCGAATGGTCCCTTCCGGGCCTCCGCTGGGGGGCGTGTGGGGACGGCCTGAGGACCTGCCCCCGCGCCAGACCACGCCCACAGGCTCTCCGCAATCCGCCCTGCTCGACCCCGGCAGCAGGCCACGCCCCCGACACGCCCAGCCCAGAGCCACGCCGCCAGCCACGCCCCCAGGTTTTGCACCCCTGGCACGGGCGCTGAAATTCGCCAGCCTAACTCCGGCCTAACTCCTCCAGCGCACAGCCTTCTCGGTCCTGCCGCGAGCCACACCCTCCTTTACACCTGACGGTGGTGTCAGTGCTTGGCTCCGGGGTCCCATCCCGGGACCCTTGGAATGGAAGGAGAGAACAGACTCCTGTAAATTATCTGACTTCCACCTAAAAGCTGTGACACACACTCACACCTTTAAAAAAATTAAAGTAACTTAACGGTATTGTAATTTTGGTAAAGAGCAACGCAGACTGGTTTTAAGGCAGTTTGAAACACTGGAAGCAAAAATAACAAAAAGATACATTATCTATCAAGCATCTTGTCTTCGACAGCAGAAAGCAGTCCTGTTTTCTAGTTGTTCAAGTGCCATTCTTATGCTAAGTGGGGAATGCTGGTTCTGGGGGTATCTCTTCAGACCTCTCCGGCCCTGAGCTCCACCACTCTCTCAGGAAGAGGCATCACCTGAACTTGCTTGGATGGTGAGAATAAAGAACACAGGGTTGAGGCAGTGACAACCTGAGCTGCAGATGCTGAGTTCACAATGGCTTCTGGTCCTTAGGAAAACCCTGACATTGCTTCTCCCACTTAACTCGATTTGTGAGACCTGTGTTAAACAATCAGCATACAGCAGCTTTGGAAAAGCGTCAGGCAAGGTGTGGTAGTTCTGACTGGTAACCCCAGCACTCACTTAGGTCGAGGAGAAGGCATTTAAGATCAACCTACATAATAAATTAAAAACCAGCCTGGACTATATGAGACCCTATGTCAAAAAAAGAAAGAGGGGGTTGAAGAGATGGCTCAGCAATTAAGAGCACCTAGTGCACTTACAGGGGACCTGAGTTCAGTCCATCTTAGGGCAGCTCACAACTGCTTGTTAACTCCCGTTCCAGAGGGTCCTATGCTTCTAGTCTCAGAGGACACTTGGACTTGCATGAACACATCCACACATGGCCTGGGGCTAGCTATGAAGCCTTGGCCTGCCTCCAACTCCCAGACATCTACCTGCCTCTGCCTCGTGAGAGTAAAGGCATGCAATATAACATCCAGCCCAAAATGAACACTTAAACATGGGGGCCAGGGTGATGGCTCGGTGGGTAAAGAGCTAGCCAGACAACCAGCTGATGAACTGAGTTTGATTCTTGGGACCATAATGAGGTAGGGAGAGAGTTGGTTGTCTTCTGACTGTACACTCATCATGGCACGTGCATATTTCTCTCTCTCTCTCTCTCTCTCTCTCTCTCTCTCTCTCTCTCTCTCTCTCTCTCTCTCTCTCTCTCTCTCTCTCTCTCCACTGGTCCAGAGAGAGATAGTTTATGTTGGAGTCTGGTAGAGAAATAATTTATGGTCTGGGCTAGCACCAGACCCCAACAAAGACAAGCCTAAGCTATAGGCCACCCTTTCATAATTAATGATAAGTCTCCATGTCAATTTTTTTTCTGATCTGGTGGCCCAAAGAAAAATCTGTCTACACAGTCCACTAACAATCTGTAGCCCTGCCCTCTCCCCCCTCTCCAAAAAATAGTTACTCTGAAGCTGTGGTGGCATACACCTTTAATCCCAGCACTCAGGAGGTAGAGACAGGCAGATCTCTGAGTTCTAGACCAGCCCGATCTACATAGGGAGTTCCAGGATAGCCAGGACTTCATCGAGAGGAGAGACCCTGCCTCAAAATAAAACAAACAAACACACACACACACAAACAAACAAAAAACCCTGCAAAAATAGAAAAGATGGAAAGGAAGCCGCTTCTGCTGGTTGATACAATGTTTGCTTAGCTTGTAGGAGGCCCTGGCTTTAGTACTGGTGCTTCCATCACTCAAAGAATAACAAAAATAATTCAATACTTTAAAATGTCCTGTGTTTATACACATTGTATCCAGGAAAGCCTACAAGCTTCCCTTAGCTCTTTGTCTTAATTTATTTTGATTCTTTTCTTTGTGTAAACCCAGGGAGCATCTCCAGGCTCTATAGCTGGTAGACAGATACTTATTGACTGGGTTGAGGACCACAGTGATGCCTTAGCAACGGGAAGAGCCTGCCCCTGAAAGCCTGGCTGAAGCAGGTAGGAACAACTGCTATTGGCTGAGTGTCTCCCTGGTAGCCCAGCTCTCGGCTTCTTCATCTCTCCCTCCCAGCATGACCTGAGGAATTTCAAGGATGGGGCATCTACTGCTTGGAAAGGCTAAAGAATGACCATCAGTTTGGTAAAGGACAAAACCAAAAGGTAAATGAAGTAGCTTGGCTGCTTTTGTGTTTTGTTTCTTGAGACACCGTGACCCTCTGCAGTCTTGGTGGTCCTGAAATTTACCACATAGCATATGCTGACCTCTAATTTTCAGTTATCCTTCTGCCTCTGCCTCCTGAGATTACATTGTGTGCTAAACTCTAGCTCACTGACCTTAAGCTACTTTGCTTGAGAAGCTAATTGTTGCCTGAGAAGCTTATTGGGAAGAAGTCATTCAACCATTCATTCATGTTGTGGGATTTTGATCCCTTTAGCCAATGACTTTTAGGGGTTATGAACCCTAGGGCATGGTTTTGTCTGCATATGTGGCTGATAGGAGGGTTCTTTTGCTCTCTCTTCCTCTCTCGGTGCAGGTGCTCGCTCTTCACTGCTAGGGAGAACAGTTGAATGCAGGCAGCTGAATCTGATCTGTTCTGTATCTGTGAGTTTGTCTTTTCATTGCACCCCTTAATAAATTGGTTATTAGGCTTTTGTGAGTTCTCCCTTCACATTCATCCATCCATTCATTAATTCATTCGTTCATTTCCTTGATGCCCCTCCAAATCCCTAGAACTGAGCAGGTTCAGTATGGAATCAGCTGTCTCCTTAAACCTCCTCTCCTCCAGTGATCTGAGAGCTGTGGGAGGGCTGGGGCTAGAGTGTTTCCCAAGTACTTGACTGTCAAGGAAAAACATTGCTAATGGATGAGTGAGTGAGTGAGTGAGTGAGTGATTGAATAAGGAAGGGATGAACAAGGAAGGGAGCCCAACTCTGCCTGGCGGTCAAGAGTGGGACCATCGCCATAGCTCTTAGAGAAACAGCTTGAACTGTGAGCGGAAGGTCACTGCAGGCTGGACAGAAGCAGCTACGAGAGGACTGGACACATGAGACCCTGGATGAATGTAGGGAAGGATATGGACACCCTGCTTCTGTGAATCCCAGTAGACGGAGACTGCCTGTTGGTTTCCCAGCTGCCCAGACCCGAATAATCATACAGAAACCTTATTAATTACAACACTGCTTGGCCAATGGCCCAGGCATATTCTTAGCTAGCTCTTACATCTATGTATCACCACAAGGCTGTAGCTTACAGGTAATGTTCTGGTTCTTTCTCCTTTGGCTGTTAAATGGTGTCTCCTTGACTCTGCCTACTCTCTCTCTCTATCTTTGTTCAGATTTCCCACCTGGCTTTACTCTGCTAAGACATTGGCCAAAACAGCTATATTCACCAACCAATAAAAGTAACACATATACAGAAGGACATCCCACCTCAAACCCCAGGACAAAATAAATGCTCCAGCATACCACCCCGCCTTGCTCAAAACACCCACAGACACACCAGGGCTTGTGAGGCAGAGTTCTACCTTGAAGACACAAACCAGGTCATCTGAGCACAGATGCAAACTAGCCACATGGAACAACTGTGTTCAAGTCAGCATGACCGCCTACAGCCCTCAAGGAACTTTCTCTCTAGAGAAGTTATCTTGTACCCAAAAGGCAGAGACTTGCACACATCCAAACAGAGGCCATTCCAGGGAGCTGAGTTGCCTAAGACAGGCATATGGTTTGGGGGAAAAGTATGCTATCAGATCTCTTCCCCCCAGATAAGTGCCCCTCTGACTTAGAGTGACAGAGGCCAGCCATGGTAACAACCCAAATGGAAGATTCAACTCTGTTAACAGAGGTAGTTCTTTAAATGTTGCTCACCTTAGGTGGGTACTGCTACCCTTATGTTCCAGAAAGAGGGAATAAACCAAGACTTGGTCAAATGGTGGGAAAGCTGAGGCTGAAACCCAGAGCTCCAGCTGTGAACAGGTCTTTCCACTTCACCCCGACAGAGTTTCACATCCTGAGTGACTTTGGGAGAGAGGCCATCTGTGACCTGTGGTACTCTGTGTCAGCCTCCTGTTAGGATAATTTCTATGCAATTGCTTATCAAATTCACAGCCTTGCTCTTTGAAAGTTCCAAGACCCTTTCTCTAGACACTTCCCCAACACCTACAAGAACTAGCTACCGCTAGTTCCCTTTTCTACTTCCCTTATTTGGTTGTTATTGTCCTACACGTGGGGACAATCTTTTTTTTTTAAATATTTATTTATTATGTATACAATATTCTGTCTGTGTGTATGCGTGCACGCCAGAAGAGAGCATCAGACCCCATTACAGATGGTTGTGAGCCACCATGTGGTTGCTGGGAATTGAACTCAGGACCTTTGGAAGAACAGGTAATGCTCTTAACCTCTGAGCCATCTCTCCAGCCCACGTGGGGACAATCTTACTAGAGTCCGGGAGGAACACAACAGGGTAGGCAAGCCGTGTCCGGAGGAGGGAGAAGGAAGCATAGATGAAAGCTGGGCATTTTGAATTAGGATCTAAGAAAGTCAGCAGGTCGGTCCTGCGGTAGAGCAACATGGTCGAAGGGGAGGGAAGCTTCAGAGAAACCAGAGTGCCAGGGGAAGCATGCCTAAGCTTTGACCCAGCGTCTGAAAGAGACAGAAAGAAGGAAGAGGATGGAAAAGAGGACAGCTCACCATGAGGAAAGCCCTGCAGGCAGCTGGCTTC